TCACAAGCAAAATATCTTAATTGTTGATGTGATACTACTGTTGAACAGGATGAGAAATTCTATGATACAAAACTCTTGCTAAAAAATAAAGAAATGATACTTGTGTTACCACAAATATTTTGTCTACTGTAATTATAAAAGAGACAATAACATTCTTTGGAAAACATGTTCTACTGATGAAATGATTTACATATCAGAGCTAATTTGGGAACAAGGAATATATAGGATGTAGGTGAAAGTAACTAGAGTTTATTTATGCATATATATTTACCAATACATGATATTTTATAATTTTAGTATTATAAGTATGAAGTGGTATGGTATGCTTTTTAACAAATAGTGTTATTAAAATGCATATATGATAAACACAATAATAACTATTGTTTTTTGACTGTTATAATGGTTAATACTGAGAAGAAATTCAAGAATAAAATATCATTTTTATATCTATTGATGCCAGATTTTGAAGGGAGTATAAAATAATACTATTTTGCAAATTAATTTCTTTTTTAATAGTATTTTAACTTGTCTACTCTTTTCCACAGTAATTGCCTTTCTATGACTGTATCTGACGGGACTTGTCAATGTACATATAAGTATAGATACAAAAAGGCAGAATAGCTACTTTTAATAGAGTAAACTGTGTTCATACAAGAAATGCTATGCAGATTTTATATTCAGTCAGGTAGATCTTTGATAATTACAGAAGATATTTCCAAGACATATTGTTAATAAAACAGCAAGCAAATTATAATTTATTCATATGTTTTCACAGGTACATAAATATATTATTCATGTAAATATATATTGATATGTATTTTTGTTAAATTACACACTTCACTGCTAATCATGATTACTTCTGTGAAAAGATACATATCTGTATTTTTTTGAAATTTTACACTCAGTGGACATCTTATTTGTAACTAATAAAGGAAAAAAAAAGCCAGTTACATGAAAGTATATTATTACTAACGATTATTTTGGATGATCTCTTTTTGTTTTTAATATATTTTAGTACATGTAAGTAGTTATGCTTAAAGCCATAATTAAAACAGATTTATAAAAGAAAGAATGAAAAAAATAAAGAAATTTTTTATTTTTATTTTTATTTTATTTTATTTTATTTTTTTGAGACGGAGTTTCACTCATGTTACCCAGGCTGGAGTGCAATGGCGCGATCTCGGCTCACCGCAACCTCCGCCTCCTGGGTTCAGGCAATTCTCCTGCCTCAGCCTCCTGAGTAGCTGGCATTACAGGCATGCACCACCATGCCCAGCTAATGTTTTGTATTTTTAGTAGAGACGGGGTTTCACCATGTTGACCAGGATGGTCTCTATCTCTTGACCTCGTGATCCATCCGCCTCTGCCTCCCAAAGTGCTGGGATTACAGGCTTGAGCCACCGCGCCCGGCCTAAGAAATTTTTTATGGAGAAATAATTTAATTTACTTGTAAACCATTTATAAGAAGCTGACCTCTAATTAGTGAAATCATTAAAGTCCATGAGAAAAATTGTTAAAAAAAAAAAAAAAAGGATCTTTTTATTGTTCCACTAGGAGTAAACATCAAGTGTAAGCTAGAGTTTATTTAATATTCATGGGGCTCTGTTCCATGATGTCAGAAAAAATGACAACAATAATCAAGGTTAAAATCCTCTTAATTTTGATCTGAGCAGTATATGGAAAAAGACTTTAACCGGCTCGTTGGTCTAGGGGTATGATTCTCGCTTTGGGAAAAAGACTTTAAAACTATAACCTTGCTGTGAAGGGTTTTTATGCCATTTCTCATGAAGTGCATGAACTGTTTAGTGAGAATTGCTATTCGAAAAAAAATGTGTTTAGCTTTAACCATATGGAATCCAGCAATCTTGCTAAATGCTGTTATTAATTCTAATGTATTAACTGTAGGCTGCTTTTAGATACTCTGGTACATAAACATAAAATCTTTAAATACAGATGGGTTTATTTCTTCCTTTCCAATCATTACACATTTTTTTTTAACCTTTCCCTGCATTATTGCCCTGGTTATGAACTCCAGGAAAAGTTGAATAGAAATGGTGATAGTATGCATTCTTGTCTCAATCCTGATCTCAGGATGAGGTTTTCTTTATTGCATCACTAATGATGGTATTTGCCATAATTTCCTTAGTCATTTTTTAATAATCATAACTGGATGGTAAATTTGCCAAATGGTTTTTCTATATTTATTATGACAGTGATGTGATTTTTGTCCTTTGTTTTGTTAAGGAGATTGTATTTCAATATGTTAAACCAATAATAATTCAATATTGCGTTAAGCTCGGTTTGTTCATAAGGTATTATAATTGAAACTGTCTTTGGATTCCATTTGTCAAACATAATGATTTCTTGTCTCATTTTGTCAGGATCCATATTGACTACTGATTTCCTTTATTATAATATCTTCATCAGTTTAGTGTAAAGTTTATAGGGATTTCACTCAACACTTTGTGGAATGTATTTATTCTGTGAAAGAGGTTGTGCATGATTAGTATTATTTCTTTCTGAAATTTATGGAAAGGTTCACAAAACCAGGTGTTATTGATGAAAAAAGAAAGTAAATTTTAATTATTTCACATCCCTACACATGTGTATAAATGCATCACGTATGTTAATAACTATTTATATGCACATCTGCTCATATACACACTTTGCTGCCAATCATGAAGTGTGAAAGGCTGCATTTTTAGAAATTTCTTCCTTTCCAATTTTATGCCTTTTTTTGGCATTATTGTCCTGGCTATGACCTCCAGAAAATGTTGAATAGATCTTGTGATAGTAGGCCTTCTTACCTCTTTTCTTATTTCAGGGGGAGGATTTTAGTAGTTCACTAGTAAGTATGCTACTTGCTGCTGTTTGCTGAGTTTTAGAAAGTTGTAAGTGAGTAGTAAATTCCATAGAAATGTTTCTCTTTATTGTGATAGTGACAAAATTTTACTCCTTTGTCTGCCAAAGTGACTTGATTTCATGATGATAAGACAACAAACATTCTTTCCTGGATGAAACACATTTTGTTCACAGGGTATTATAGTTGAAATATCTTTGTTCTGTTTGTAAAACTAAGTTTTACATTTTATTTATTTATTCACTGTTTTCATTTTGTGATGAGGCATAAAAACCTTTTATATGGCTGGGTGTGATGGCTAACATCTGTAATTCCAACACTAAAAAATTAGCTGGATGTTGTGGCATGTCCCTGTAGTCCCAGCTACTTGGGAGGCTGAGGCAAGAGGATCGCTTGAGCCCAGCAGTTCAAGGTTACAGTGAGGTGTGATGGCTGCACTGCTCTCCAGCCTGGCTGACAGAGAGAGACCATGTCTCAAAAAATAAATAAATAAAAAATTTAAAAAACCTTTTGATATTCTTTATGTATAATGTTCTTATCAGTTTGGTATAAACTTATAAGTGTCTCATAATATATTTGGGGGTGTTTTGACAGTTATTTTCCTGCAGAAGAGGTTGGTTATATCTTTCTCAGTTACATAGAGAAGATCAGGAATTTAGGCACCAAGGCCAATATAGATGCATACTATTTAATAAACAAAGAATTACTGTGATTTCCCAATTTATCTGTTTGTTAAGTGGTGTTTTTCGTGTGATACAATAATTTCAGTTTTATTGGCATGAATTTGATTATAATATAATATATGTGTCTTTAGGATTCATGGCGATAATCCTTTTATATTCCTGTTGGTGGTGGTGGTGATGGTGGTGGTGGTATTCTTTGATTTTGATCAGTCTTGACAGCATTTATAATTTTTTTCTTTAAAAACCCCATTTTAATATTGTCTACCACTTTTTATTTAATATTTCTTTGGTTTGATAAAATAATAATGATTTTTATTTCAAGTTTTGGTTTATATTCCTGCTTTACCTTCTAATTTTGTGAAGTGTATTACTAGATCTTAAATTGTCAGGATTTCCTCTTTTGCATGAAGGGCATGAATTTTATTTTATGCCCATGTTTTGATGCATCCACACAATTTTTAGTAATTTTAGTGAAGTATAATTGATTTAAAATAAACTGAACCACTTCAACATTATGTTTTGTGATATGTATATATTTATGAAACCATCACCACAATGAAGATAATGTTAACGTTCATTCCCCATTCACCAAGTGTCTTGTTTGCCATTGTATGTTTCCTTTCTGTTCCTGCCCAAGCTCTTCCACCATTCATATGCTATGAACATTTTTGCACAAGCCTTTGTATCAACATATAGGTTGGATTTTTTGTTGATTTGTCTTTTTTTTCCAATAAACACCAAGGAAAGGAATGGCTGGAACACTTGAGGGGTGTTTTTTTAATTTTTTCTGGGACATGCCAAAGCATCTTGCAATGTGATTGTACTGTTTACCATTCTATTAGCAGTAGGAGTTGCAGTTGCTCTACATTCTTGTTATGGTTAGTAATTTTAATTGTAGCCTTCTTTTTTGGGGGGAGGGGACAGGGTCTTACTGTGTCGCCCAGGCTGGAGTGCAGTTGGGTAATCACAGCTCACTGCAGCTTCAACCTCCCGGACTCAAGCATTCCTCTCACCTCAGTCCCTCCAACCTCCCCAGTAGCTTGACTACAGGTGCATGCCACCATACCCAGCTGATTTTTTTGGCAGAGATGGAGTCTCATCATGTTGCCCAGGCTGATCTCAAACTCCTGGGCTCAAGCAATACTCCCACCTCAGGTTGCAGTCATAAGCCACTGCCACTGCGCCAGGCTTGTAGGTTTCTAATCAGTGTGCAGTCATATCTCACTGTCACTCTAAATTTCATGGATTTAACCAAGTCATAGGTCTTTTTGTCCCAGGTATCTTCAGTAAATGGAGAAAATGGATCACAAATGTGAAGCTAACCTTTTCCCATTATATTTTGCATGTACAGCTAGTGCTCGACTTACAACCACAATTGGGACTGGCAGACTGGTCGTAACACGATATGGTCGTAAGTTGAGTAGGCTATATGTACAGTTGAAATGGTGCACGCGGAGATGGTAGTGCTGCCGGAAGCTGGTCCGCACTGTCATATGCCCAGCTGGGCAATGTTTGTGCTGCCAGACGCGGAGCAGTCGTGGCTAGCGATTGTGGTCGTAATGTTGAATGGTCGTAAGTTGCATAGGTCGTAAGTCGATCAATACCTGTATAGTTATTTTTTATTGAGTGCTGGATTTTCTGTATGAAATACTATAGGGATAATTGGAGGCTCTGAATGGTTTTGTTTTCATCCTGAGAGCATATATAATGTATATATGTGGGTTTATATATATATATAAAATATATACTTTTTATATAAACTATAAATATATATATATATACACTATATATGGGGGTTTTTTTGCTTTGAAAGGTGGGGTGCGGTAGTTTATCTTATCTCAATCAGTGTTTGAGTCCTTTTGAAGCTAGACATCATGTTTTGTGAAGAGATTTCTATTTCTAGTTTGTATCAACACTAAGGACATAGTTCATTAGTTCATTTGGGATGCCATGTCAACCTTGTTTTCCAGATCCTCTTTTCCATAGTGAGCCCTAGAACCCAATCTGTTTCCTTTGTGCTAGTGAGACTGCTGGAAGACCTGGTCAGCTGCTTAACTTCTCAGCTCAAACTTACTACTTAATGTCTTGGCTTTTCAGTCACCTTCTCTGAATCAGTAAAAGCCTTGAGAATGACCAGGTGTGGTGGCTCATGCCGATAATCCTAGCACTTTTGAGAGGCCAAGGTAGGAGGATTGCTTAAGCCCAGGAATTCAAGACCAGCCTGGGCTACAAAGCGAGACCCTCATCTCTAAAAAAAAAAGTTTTTTAAAAATTACCTGGGCTTCATGGCATGTGCCTGTAGTCCCAGCTACTCAGGAGGCGGAGGCGGGAAGATTCTTTGACCTCAGGAGTTCGAGGGGCTGCAGTGAGCTGTGATCCAGCCAGTGCACTGCAGCCTGGGCAACAAACAGGGAAGGAAACCTTGTCCAAAAGAAACCAAAAGCTTTAAGAGAAAAGGAATACCAAATTTGGGCCATCTGGGCTTCATTTGGGTCATTTGCTTCTCTTCTTCTTTCCTTGGGTTTGTGGTGCTTTCAAACAAAGTGTTTAGTATCTTCCAGCTCTCCTCATTTTCCTAGTTTTTTCAGCAAGATGGTTGAAGGGAAATGACTGGTTTGCCACTTAATGGAAGTAGACAATTCCACACATAGTATTTTTTGAAATATATTTTTGTTTTTAATTGTTTCTCCATCTGTAACCAATATATTTTTTGTCAATAAAATAAAATAATTATGGAAATGATCTATACAAGCAGTGGAGCTTTTCTGTCATAATTTGTTTATTGTACCCTAAGTAAATTTTTTTTTCATTGATAACCTATGTTTCCCTAGTTCCCAACATGTGCCAAGTGTGAATTACAGTATATGGTAGAAGTATATTATTGAGGCATAGCCTAATGAAAAACAAGCAAGTAAATGTGGAATATATTACTGACAATATGTTTTTTGGTAATTTGTTACACAGCAATAGTAACCAGAATATTTGTAATATCACTTTGTATTATGTTCAGTCAGCTGAAGGGGCTGGCATATGAATCCTTTACTTATCTTGGCTGATTTCTAGTTAAGATCATATCACTTTGTGTAAATGTAACTTCACAACAGTAGAATTACATTTATTACCCTTTTCCTTTGTTCTTCTTTTGTCATATATTTCATTTAAATATTTTATTGAAAACTGAATTAATATTTATAATTTATACTTGTATTATAATTTTGGTAAAGGAATTAAAACACATTAAGGGCACAAATCTTAACCTTACGGTTTAATTAATTTTGCACATATTTTCCATCTACAATTCTGCTTACTATTTTTGTTTTAACTGTCATTTGTCTTTTAATGAAATAATATGTTTGTAATATTTTTCTAAATATTTCTCTTAAGTGTTCTTCACTCCTTCCTGAAGTACCCAGTTTCTATCAGGTATCTCCTGTTGCATTATGCATATAATTGTTTGGTCAGAAACAAATTGTCTGAGGTTTGTTTATGTGATTGTGTCTTATTTCACTCACAATTTGAGACAGTGATTTTACTGGATGTAGAATTCTGGCTTGAGTATTTCCTCTTTAAGCATTGGAAAGGTGCTGGTGCACTTGTTCTGCTTCACCATAGATTCTGTTGAGAAAGCTGCCATCACTGAAATCATCCTGCTTAGGAATATATCTTTATTACTTGAAAGTTTTCAGTTGACATACGTTTGTTCACTGATATTTTCTATACTTCATATAGTTATCAAATATACAATTTGCTAATGTCATTTAAAACTTCAATAGCTATTTCATCAATCCAAATTTTCCCATTTAAATTAAAAGATAACTCATTTGATTGACAAGAGCAACAAGACAAAGCAAAATAAGAAAAGCTCATATGAAAAACAGAAATCCAAAATATCAATATTTTTCTTGTATGATCTATAGCAAAATATTTTATGTATGTTATACTTAACTAATATACAATATAATTATTCGTTGATGATTTTACAGGTGAAGTGATTTATATGCCATATATTTATACAGAATCAATGAAGTAACAAGAAATATACAGAACATAAGTGAAAGCAACAAGAATTTATGCATATGTGTATGCTTAATATATAACCATTTTGGTATTCAAGTAATTATGAAATGATAGTCTCTTTGACAAATGGAATTAGTAAAATGCACCAAGGATATATGCAAAAATAAGCATGAATTGGGAATTAGTATATGAAATATGCTAAATGCTTAGTGGAAATTAAATAAATAACAATATATTCTTTCTTATATTGATACAAAACTATGGAATTAGTATAAAATGATCCTGAGTATTTGAAATTAATTTGATATATTTTAACAATTTTTTTTTTTTTTGAGACTGAATCATACTCTGTGGCCCAGGCTGGAGTGCAGTGGCGTGATCATGGCTCACTGCAACCTCTGCCTCCTGGGTTCAAGCGATTCTCCTGCCCCAGCCTTCCGAGTAGCTGGCATTACAGGCGCCCACCACCACACCCAGCTAATTTTTGTATTTTTAGTAGAGACGGGGTCACCAAGTTGGCCAGGATGGTTTTGATCTCTTAACCTTGTGATCTGCCCCTCTGGGCCTCCCAAAGTGCTGGGATTACAGGCATGCACCACCATGCCTGGCTAATTTTGTATTTTTTTTTTTTTTTTTTTTTTAGTAGAGACGGGGTTTCGCCATGTTGGACAGGTTGGTTTCGAACTCCTGACCTCAAGTGATCCACCCGCCTCAGCCTCCCAATGTGCTGGGATTACAGGCGTGAGCCACCGCGCCCGGCCCAATGTTTTAAATTTGTCTACATTTTATACAATAATTGCCTTTCTATAACAGTATCTGACAGAGCTTGTTAAAGGTGTGTATAAAGTATGGATAAAAAAGGCAAAACAAGTAGTTTCTAAATAACATATGCTGTGTTAATATGATGAATACTATATAACTTTTATAGCCAATCAGGTGAGCTTGTATACTTGCAGAAGATATCACAAAGACATATTCCAAATATAAAAGGAACCAAATTGTACTTCATTTTACTTGCATGTGCAAGTGTATAAATATTTTACACATGTAAATACTTTGTATACATGTTATCATTTACACACTTTACTGCTAATAATGGTTATTTCTGTGACGCAATATGCAATTGCATTTTCTTTTCTTTTCTTTTTCTTTTTCTTTTGAGACAGTCTCACTCTGTTGCCCAGGCTGGAGTGCAGCTGCACGATCTTGACTCACTGCAACCTCTGCCTCCCAGGTTCAAGTGATTCTCTTGCCTCAGCCTCTCAAGTAGATGGGATTACAGGCATGTGTAATCACGCCTAGCTAATTTTTGTATTTTTAATAGAGACAGGGTTTCGCCATGTTGGCCAATATGGTCTCGAACTCCTGACTTCCCAAAGTGCTGAGATTACAGGCATGAGCCACCATGTCCAGCCATGCAATTGTATTTTTTAAAAAAATGTATACTGGGCACATGACAAATTGATAATTAATAAAGGAAAAATCAAAGAAATAGTGAAATGAAGGCATATCACTGATGATTTTCTTGAAAGATGTACTTTGCTTTTTTTTCCCCTTTGGTAAGGCAGTACAGAAAAGGTAAGAAGTTACATTTAAAGCCAGAAACAGAAAAGAAATAAGAAAATATATAAATAATTTATGTTAAGAAAGTAATTTAATATAGTAGTGAAACATTTATAAATACCTGACCTTTAATTAGTCAGTGAAATAATTATCCTCGAGGCCATAAGTAAAATAGTCACAATGAATACTTTTTTATTTGTTCCACTAGGATTAAATACCAGTTATATTGGGAAGTTAATCATATAGTCAGGTGCCTTTGTTACCATGATATCAGAAAAAATGACAGCAATGTTCAAGGTGATAATGACTTTTAAATTTTAGCTGATAAGTATCTAAAAACAAATCTTTAAAGTAAGACCTTGTATTGTTATTTTTTTTTTGTTCCATTCTTATGATGTGTATAAAAAGTTTAGCGAGAATTACTATTTTCAGGCCTAGCACAGTGATTCATGCATGTAATCCCAGCACTTTGGGAGGCTGAGGTCGCAGATCACTTGAGATCAGGAGTTTGAGACTAGCCTGGCCAACATGTCAAAACCCCATCTCTACTAAAAATACAAAAATAAGCCGAGCGTGATGGAGCACACCTGTAGTCCCATCTACTCAGGAGGCTGAGGCATGAGAATCACTTGAACCCAAATGGTAGAGGTTGCAGTGAGCCGAGATTGTGCCACTGCATTCCAGGGTGGGTGACAGAGTAAGACTCTGTCTCAAAAAAAAAAAAAAAAAATTAATTAAAAAATGATTGGTATTCTAAGGAAAAAAAATGTGTTTGGGCTTAACTGTGAAATTCAGTTGTCTTGCAGAATTCACTAACTGGAGATCATTATGTTAAGTGAAATAAGCCAAGCACACAAAGATAAATTTCGCATGTTCTCAGTTATTTATGGGAACTAACGATTAAAAAAATTGAACTCATGGACATACAGAGTGGAATGGTGGTTGCAAGAGACTAGGAAGGGCAATAGAGGGTGGA